GCGTGTTTTCGGAAGTTGCTGAAATTGCCCAAGTCGCCCAGCGACGAGGGCAATTTCTGCAACTTCCGAAAACACAAGTGATATTAATCCTCAATTTTACGAGGAACCATGTGATTACTTGTTTATAATATAAGGGGCAAATGTTTTCTTATTGATCTCGCGCAAAACGGGACGCCATTGTTACAAAACAAACATAAATTTCTTTACCTTGGCAGCCTTTGCTAAGCGATTTTCAGCCAATCATTTCTAAGTAATTTTGCCCGGAGCAATTACAAAAATTAAGAATAAATGCCCTCTGTCTTGATCAATCACAATTCAGTATTTTATGATAACTAATTAATAGATGCAGGAGACGGAACCTAAGGTTTATTCGTCCTTATCCGAGAAGACTAGAATGTCTATCCATTTCTTGATGTTATAGAAAGGTAGCACATTCTCCTCAGTTATTTTAACACCTTGAGCGTTGGTCCGGCCGGGGCTTGAACCCTCGACCTCCCGCACAACAGTCCAGGGGTCCGTCTCTCGAAAGTCCGGGTAACTTAACGGACCCGAAGCCAAGTTTTCAAATCAAAATGTAAAGGATACAAAAGCAGGTTCTAGCCCAAAAATTAGTCCATTTTTATCTTAATCTGACAGTTTTATTGTATTATTTTTAAAACTTTTGAAATCCCCATCTTGAATGAAAACAGAACAGATTTACGGGTCCGTTAAGTGACCGGGACTTTCGAGAAACGGGCCCCAGCGCTCAACCAATTGAGCTAACCGGGAGGCGGTTACGCGCGTTATTTGCATATATGTGAAAAGATAATTCACCTTCAGATTTTTTTGGTGATTTTCATAATGCTCCTGAAATCCTTTTATCCAGACTGCCAGCTCTTCCTTGCAAACCTCAGCACATGATTTACCTTGTTCGAGGTCTTTCCTTCAAGAGAAAAACAATTTTTCTTACAATTGCTTAAATCACTAAGCGGGCAAATGCGAAATGTACAAGCGGTTGAATTTAAAGAGCTGCGACGATGCTAACTAGTCCGACATGCTTTATGTAATAACTTTAGAAGCATACGCGTATGCAAGACAATCCTAAGTAATCCTCATTATTTTTTATTTCTCAGGGAGTAGTAAAAGTTTTATCACAAAAGGGAAGGAAGAAGATAACACAATCTCTTCAAACCCATTACTTTAGGGTACTCACTATAACATTTTCAAGCTCCTATACCACATATTAGGTCCGATAATGACATTAATTACCACAATTTTAACTTTTTGTTTGCTCGCTGAAATAAAATACATCGGGTTTTTTTTTATTCCGTTTGTTAAGACAAGACTGAAACACTAGTCATTCTGGATCATACATAGAATAATTTGGTTTTATCAGCTGAGTTGACAGTGTAAGAGTTCTAAAGCCGACTTTTTGGGCACTGTTCCTTCAATTAAACGAATGGCGTAGGGCTAACGCCAGCTTCGGAAGTTGTTTAGGGTGGCAATTTGCATATTGTTCAACTCAGTTAATAAAATCCAATTAACTTGTATTATCCCCCACCGACGCAGGAAAATAGTTTTATAGAAAGTTAATGCTTCTGTTCGTGAATTATATACATTGTAGGTTTGTATTAGGCATATTCATGTGGTTTTCAATTTTACGAGCCGTTAAATTCAAAAAGGTTAGGCTTTGTTTCTATCTTAAAAATATGGCTGTTTGTCAAATTGATGACAAAAATCAGGGACGCGTATAGAAGAACACAGACACGCAGATGGTTTCACCAAATAGGTACACCAAAGCTTAAATTGATATGTAGGGCTCTGCTGCAATAAACCACCTCGATTTCAATACATAGATAGTCTATAAATAGGCTCAGATGCATTTGCAATTTCAAGTTAGCACCTGCTGAAATGAAACCATCAAAAACTTAAACCACGTGTTGTATGCCATTGGGGGAATGAGTCGTAGGGAGGCCAGTAAAAGTGGGGAGAAGTATGACCCACGAGAGAGAAAATGGAAAACTATCGGTAAATTCCTATTTCTTTTTCTCTTTCTTCCTCCCTCCCTTTCTGTCTGTTTGTCTTTTCTTTCTTTGTTTATCCATTTATTCAAAAATAAAACAGGATGTTGCGTTGTTATTAAACGCAGTGAATTAACATTTTGTAGTTTCTTTCTAATAGAAGGTAGTTGTATGGTGATAGGTCAAGAATTCTATAAAAACCTCGTCAGTTTGCAAACCTCAACATGTATTTCCCTGGTCTTCCTCTCTTAGGTGACATGAACATTTGCCGCTGGGGTGCTGCGGTAGGTGCTTTGGGTCCATTTCTTTACATCTGTGGTGGTAGCGATGATGCATCGCGGCTGGAGACTGTGGAAAGGTTCGATCCGTTTTCTAATGTCTGGGTACCGTCTGTCCCCATGTCGTCGAGTCGTAATGGTGTTGGGGTAACGGCAGGAAATGGGAGAATTTACGCTATAGGTGAGTTTTATAGAAGGAGTAGGAGTCCACTCACCGGTAGATAGCGCAATGCGTTTAATTAACATTTATCCGTTGGATAGCGATTTATCCTTATGATAGTTTTATCCGTCCTTTGAACAACTGGGCCCTGATTGATAAAGTGAAATAACTAAGAGACTATTCTATAGTAACACAGACGGTGCCTGTACACCATATGAATATGTTAAGAATCTTGTTAACTGTTGCTTGCCTCGTGCAATCGTTTGCGTCCATTACAAAGGTGGGAAAAGCAGTGATCTCATGATCAATGCGCAGGGCATCGGGTCAAGAGGTGACGGCTCGAGGGATGGCCTAGTCAGTGCAAGACGCTTTCCTTTTAGAGTACCTCTCTCCACCTGCTGGTGTCAGCAAAGGTGGATACCAGCCAACTTTCAGTGAAACTGGATAAAATGTCGGGGGATAACTTGCTTTGAACTGCTACTCCATTCAGGGGAGGAGTCACAATGCCACCCAATCAAGATAATCTGGCCAGTTGGACTATTGGGCTTGTAGGCCTGGAAGCTGTCTCTAGGAAGTGCCGTCGCTGTTTTTCGGTTTTTTTTTTGTCATCAGATACTTGTTTTCCCAAGCCTGTAACTACCTTCCTTCCTTCCAAGACTGTAAGTATCTTATGAAACTTTCGCGCATCATGAAATTTGTCCATTTTCCTGCTTTTTCACGTGGTTTTGATGACTCGATGCCGCTGAACACAGCCGAATACTATGACCCCAAGAATGGAAAGTGGATGGAGATTGCTCGTATGAACCAGTGTCGGTTTGGTGTGGGGTGTGCTGTGATGAATGATGTAGTGTATGCTGTTGGAGGCTCAGATGGAACAAATCTTAGAACTGTGGACAGATATGATCCAGTCACGAACACATGGACAATCGTCGCTTCCATGAGCACAGCAAGGTGGGTTTGATAACTTGATTCAGCACACTTTATAAAACGGTGTTCATTAAACAAAATATAGAATAGTTCGTCCGGGATCAAAAATGACATATTGAATCGAGTTTTAACTCGTCCAACGGTTCGTTTGCAAACTGAATTTCGCATGAGCAATGGAGACAGGTTAAAAGATTTTACCTCAATGGCCTTTTTATTGATGAATCGACCTTGTTGGTTTCTTCATCAAAACTAGTCACCGTATCATGCCGCAATTAACATGAAAAAAAATGCATGGAAGTAATTTGATGAGTTCACTTATGAAGCAGACAATTTTTTTTTTATCGCGGCAACCCTTTCAATCCCCTAAGAGCGCGACGAACAATACCACATGAGAGCATTGTTCTGTAAGCTCACCCACAGTGAGGGTTTCATGATTAAAGGGTAAGGAACCGTTTTACGGTATAATTAACACTGCTATTGGTAAGTGTTGCCGAGTGGCAATATTTCAA